ACATGGGTTCTGAGGGTAAGCAACGGGAAGTGCAGCTTAGGAGGCGACCTTGATCATGAAGGAGCTGCACTTAAGCAGAGCGGAGCAGAGGTCGGCGAAGATGTTTGATGGGGATCACTACCCTCAAATCACCCCAAAGGATTTATGCTAGCTGGTACACCTTCAAAAAAGCGGTATTAAGGGAAATCAACAGGACATTAGCTATGTTTCCCCTGCTTTAAGACACCCATATAAAGGCTATAGAAGGCTATAGAAGGCGTATAAATACATACATACATACATACATACATACATACATACATACATACATACATACATACATACATACATACATACATACATACATACATACATACATACATACATACATACATACATACATACATACATACATCTATCTACATACTGTCAACAAGGACAAAGCTGGGTTCATTGTGTTGACTGTGTTGACTGTCTGACTTTGATGGTGGTGAAACAATGGGGCCAGAAGTTACTGGGACTCTCGCTGCGTAAACTTTCAGCCTGAGACCACGTCAGGTTCGTCAAGGAGCACGTCCTTTGCCTCGGCTGGCGGCCGAGCTTTGCCTTTCCACACGGGGAATCAGCTTGGTAGAGTCACAATCACAACCAACTACTGTTGAAGATAGGAAAGGCGCCAGTCCCCAGTTTTTGGGAATTAGTAAAGCATCCGCGTAGGGTGGGGAATCTGGGGGTGGTTTGGCAAGCTATGGCCTAAGTACAAATTGGTTCTTTATGTTTGGCACCATCGCCTATCTTTCGACCTCTTTGACGTTGGCCAATTTGTTGGTTGTTCTTCATATTTACTGGGCCTGCGGCCTCCAGCCGGCTACACCTCTTTGAAGTTAGACCATGTCATGTCATGGTTTTTGTATGAGAAACGTATCCTGTGCTATGTTATGGCTGGTTAGGTGTTGCATGTTGCCCACCCCAACCCCAGATGATGCCGGGGATGCCAGCTTTCTGGGCCCCAGCCGGGCCCCAACCCAGAAGGCTGACATGGGGTCGCGCGCGCGCCAGAGGGCCCAAAAAAAGCAGCCCAAAAAGAACAGCCCGCAAGCCAGCCCGGTAACGCAAATGCAACAAAACACCGTACTAGCAGCGTTTTGTGGCTGGGGTCGCGCGGGCGCGCCAGAAGGCCCGAAAACCAACGCGAAAAAAGCAAGGACCGCGCAGCGCGCGAGCCAGCCACAGCAAGAGCAAAACGGACAGAACAACAGCCCAACGCTCAGCGCAGCAGTTTTTTGCGGTATTTACAGCGTTTTGTAGAGCGAGGACCCAGCATCGCCGGCATGCCCGGCAGCGCTTGGCGCCAAAATGCGCAAAAATGAGCCTCGCTTACACCCCTCCGATACCTACTTAAAAACATTGCTTTTTGGGTGGAGAGGCTTTTTGGAAGGAAGTCTTGATGATGCAGACCAAGCCCCGCTGAAGCATCACCCAAACCCAACCCCAGACCCTGACGATGTCAGCCAAATGGCCTAAACCCTGCATATACGCGATGTTTCGCGAGGGTTTCCCACAGTCAAGCAAAACCGCAAGCCCGAGCTGGTGATGCAGAGGTGCCGGATGTAGGCCGCGCATCACGACCAAGTGGCGAGGGTCGGCGGCACCAGGGTGCAGCCCCTATAGCTAAAGCTAGCAGGCTAATTGCCTAGCGGCGACATGCTACCCCAAGGAGGCGTAGCCGGATTAACCAGTCTCCCGCCTGCTGCCGCCGACCCTCGACGCATTAATCGACGCATTAACTTACCTCTTAAAAACACAACTTTTTAACTGTTTGGGTAACGTGGGCTATATTTCTGTAAAAGAGTAACTTCCCCAGGGCTTGGAGTTTTAAGGGGTAAGTTAAAGGAAAAGTCATAAGGACCGCTCCTGAAACACGGATGCCAGTCCGCAAACCCAGGGACCACTTATAAGATCCTCTAGGACCACAAACAAGGAAAGTCAGAAAAGATGGCAGCTAGTCCGTTAATTACCGCTTGGGCCGGCTCGCGCCCAAGTGACTTCGAGGCACCGGTCCTTGAACCGGTCCTCAAAGCGGTCCTGGCCAGGACCGGTCCTGGGACCGGTCCTGGGACCAGTCCTGGGACCGGTCCGGGACCGGTCCCAGTCCCATCCCGGGACCGGTCCTGGAAATCCATTTTTTGTGCTTTCGGAGCGTGTTCCCAGGCACCAAGAATTCATCATGGACTCCAATCACTTCATTCCAGTTGCATCCCACGCCGGTCCCCTCTGCAGGAGGCTGGGACGGGAATTTCCTTTCAACGAGCAGCAAGCAGGCGTCCACATTTGGCCAAGATTTCGGCAGGATTGGGCGATTCAACCCTCATCCGAGCACTACTGGTTTCTACCAACGTCGGCTTTCCCATTAAAGGTGGCCAGGGTCTGTTTTTTCGGAGATGTTGCCCAAGCCTTCTCCTTTTCACCAACAAGAGCGCCCCGGCAGCTGCCATTGTCAACCGTTTTTGAAAGGAAAACTGCCCATGGAGTAGGAGTACCATGGTCTTGAGACAAACCCGGATAGATCCGGATAGGACCAGGACCCAGGGTTACAAAGCCGTGTTTGAGTCTCACGCTAGATACTTTAGCTGCCTATGGAAATCAAGTCCACCACATATGGGTCCTATGCTTGGGAACATAAATATAACTACGATATTGCATATATATATATATATATGCTATCCCCCTCCCAAAAAAACCTAGGTTTTGGGGGGGGGGTACCATATATATATATACATATGCGGTGTGACAAATTTCCCCATGACCAAGGTTTCTTGTCTAGTTGGTGAAGTATGATTCACGCATCTGCTCAAATTGTCGGTTCACTCGTTTTCAGATGTGCTTTCCCCAGAGCTTACATTCTGTTTACTTTACTAAACTTAAGACTAACTTCAGATGTCTGACTGATTCCAAACCAGTTTCAGAACAGTTTCGGACTGATTTCAGACTATCTAGACAAGAGTATGTTCAAACCCGAGACTCTTCAGAACAGCCTTCAGAAACCTTGCATTGTCACTTCAGTGTTTTCTCGTGTTTGTCACTTTGCATCGCACGAGGCCGCAGCCCAGCTGCTGAGGACGCCGGGGCGATCCGTCGCTTCGTGGTGGCCCGCGGCGAGGACCGAAACGACCGAAACGGGGCAACGGGCCAATCGGGACCCCGAGCTTGGGAAGCTTTCCTTTGGCCTCGTCGAAGGATCTTGAGCCAACCGGCGCAACGGTGTTCTTTTTGCCTTAACCAACAGACATATGTTATATGTTATAAGCTTGACTAAAGTATTACAGAGAGAGAAACTGTTTTGTTCTGTGTACAGATGTGGCCAGATGGTTGTTGAGTCCGGCAAGTCTGCTGGTGTGCACTCTGCGGCCAAGCGTCTCTATGTTCAAAACATCATGGAGCCCGTTTTGCGCTCCTTCCGTGAATTTGCGGAGGATTCCCTCCGTCCCAGCAATAGATTATGCGGATGTCGCCAGGGTCAGGGTGCCCTTTCACCTAAAGTGCCAATGGCCCTTTTAATAATTGCACTGATCATGTGACCATGACCATATTGAAGGTGGAGGGCACCGAGGGTAGCCACTAACACCCAGCTCACAAGCGGCAGCTCAGGCGAACTGAGTACGAACTTCGCGGGCATAACCTCTCAAAGTCTTTGAGAGATGGAAAAGGGAAACCAACAGGACCTCGCCCAATTGTTTTTTTGTCCCGTCCACTTTAGCTGCTAGGGTTGTCATTTTAGGGAGACGCCTCGGCAACCGAATTCGAGCTCCCCAGAATGTTCCATGCTTTCTATGTTGGAAAGCCGGTTTTCCCAAGGAACATGCATCCTTTTCTAGCAAGACACCAACATGTCCAAAAACAGCACGGTCACATCCTCATGGCACCGCCTTGGCATGAAAGGCCTCCAACTCAGAACGCATTGAACGAAGTGCGGTGAGATCGCCCGATGGCCATGGCAAAATAACTTGTTTGCTATTTGCTTAGATCTTTAGCCTGCAACAAAAGTGCCCATTGTTCACAATGGTACCTGTTCCATCACCCGGGCCAATTTCGCCTGTAACTGTTTGGTGTAGTTTCCCACCCCACAAAAGTTCTCAGCTTTTTGCAGGGGCAAGAGCCACAGAGGTCAGAAGATGCATCCTGGTTCGAAGCGTGGCATTCGATGACTTGTGAAGAGGATGGATATGTGGCATTCGATGCCCTTCAAGTAGATCAAGAGTTCTTATGGGTCCAAATACTGTGGGACGAACTCCACGGCAGGCACACCTTGGATTTTGTCCATCCAGGGTAGGGGGGGGGCATTTCTTTTGTTTTTTGTTTTTTTTTTTGGGGGGGGGGGGAAATCCTTTTCAACCAACCCCCAACATGGTAGCCTCAAACAACCATGGGGATGCATGTCCTTTTTCCCTCGTAGTGTGTTTCACGGCTCGTGTCACCAGAGGTTGTAAAAAACACTTCCAGACAGTGGATGATTCCCGGCGAATCATTCCTACACAATCGGTTTGACTGAACAATGAGCGAACACCGGTACTAGTAGCAAGTGGACGCAGGGCAAAACCAAGAGTGCAAGATTTTGCAGTGCCATTCCACACTCTCCACCCGAGAGAAGTTTACCCTCATTTGCCCTCCAAATGTGCAACTTGCTGAAATTTGGAAAATGGTCAATCCCCCCCCTCCAGAAAACAAAAAAAATGGATCTTCATTTTTTGACCGATACCTGAAACTTCCCCCAGTCCTATCCTCATCAGAGCGCGCACTTGAAACATTCGCTGCCTTTCGGCTTCCGGCAAACCCAATGGACTGCGCCTGTGTTGCATTCTCAAGCGGTGCAACTACAGCCTCCCCCCCAACACCCCACACCCCCCCGGGCAACTGTAGCTGGGTTGCCATACCATGGATTCCAACGAATGCCAGCTATTGGCTTGTTGGGTTTGGACCAAGTTCAGCTAAGGATATTCCGGGCAAAAGCAGAGTACAAGTCGCCTTTTCGAACTAGTCCAATCCCAGTCTCGCTAGCGCCTGGTCCCATGTGAGCACTGGGGGCTTTTGCGCCAAGGCCGGGAGCGCGGAGTTGGCTCTAATGCACATCGCTTGGTTTAAATTGTAGTGTCCTTTCAAATGCTTGTTTTCTTTTGGTTTCCTCTTTTTGTAATCTTGTTTCCCTTTTGGTTTCGCTACGGTACACCAGTTTGAGAGTGACTCCCGGTCGTTGCTTGGCGTCAAGTCAGGTGACATGCCGATGATAAGTGGCAACTTGGCTCGTCTTGGACCAAGGGCCTGCCTCGCGCACACACACACACACACCCATCTCTTACCCTACCACCTTGGGATGACTTTGGTCATGGTACAGCAATGGGCCAGTTCAAGTTCTGTATTACAATAGTAATAGTATTGAGTGGTTCTGCTTTCCGGACTGACAACGAACCTGTCAGCTAGGGTCACTCTGAAGCAAGCGTGCTGTATCCTCTCATGTGTGCCTACGTTGGCATTCCGACACATACTGGGCTAAAGCGTTAACCGTAGGTGGTCGCTTGTCTTGACTCTTAATAAGTATCCACTTGGGCCACCATTTTGGCTCAAGTGGACCTTTTGATCTTTGGTCGTGTGATTTGAAATCTTTCTTTCCCCTCTCTCAAAGCCATGTACGCCCCCGCCTACGCTGGTGCCGCGGTAGCAGAGGCTAAGGCTAAGGCAAAGGCCTCCATGGCAAAGTACCTGGCGAGCCTCGTGAAGAGGGAGGAAGAAGGATGGACCGTTTTGGCTGCCGAGGTCCCTCAGGCACCTGACGAGCGTTTCTTCTCCAGCGCAGATGAGTTGGAGCAGACCCCTCTCATCCCGGCCAAGCGCAAGGCAGAGGATGAGCCGATGGAAGATGCAGCCCCTGGGGTGGCGCAGGTGCCGAAGGCCCTGACACGCCCCCCAAGAGCGTTCCTGGAGCTCCTGAACCCGCCGGAGGAGGACGCCCATGGAGGAGCTCCGGGCGCAGGACGAGAAGGAGCTGCCGATGCCCAGGTCCCCCTCGGCTGCAGCCCGCTTGGAGGAGACCCGCCTGGATGCCCGGGCAGACGCCAAGTGGCAGAGGCGCCGGGAGCTGATGGCGAAGGTCAAGGAGCAGGCGTCCTCGGAGGAGGATGAGAACCCAGCAGCCCCCCCGCCGGGGGGGAGCGTGTTCACCAAGGCCCTCAAGGTCTCGGAGGGCCTCTACCAGTTCAGCGACGACCAGATGGCGGGCAACTTCCCTTGCTTCGATGCGACCACGGCCAATAGGCTCCGCCGACTGCAGGCCAGGGACGTCCAGCGGCTCCTGCGAGGCTTTGAGGGCCCCCAACTCAAGCAGGGGGGCCTGGAGCGCGTTGTGGAGGCCTTCTACATTGCCAAGATGAAGTACGAGCATGAGGCCCGGCTCAGCACCCCGGGACAGCAGGTGGGCAAGCGCGCTGGCTTGGGGTACGGGGGCCTGGAGAACCGCCCCCTGGGCAAGGTGCCCACATCCTGGATCTGCCCCTGCTGCACCATGCCCTGGGTGAAGAAGGGCGCCACGAAGTGCATGGGGTGCGGCAAGAAGACGGAGCCCATTGACATGGCGACCAACTCGGCCACCCTGGAGATTGCAGGCACGCATTGGCAGTTGACGGTGGATGACCAGGGCAATGCGGTCTGGACGGCGGCCCGGTCCGCAGGTGCCGAAGGCCCTGACACGGACCGGGCCCGCGACCTCAAGCTCAGTGCCTCGGTGGACGTCAGCGAGCTGGCCACCGACCCGATGGCCTGCGAGAACCCGGACCAGGCCAGCTTCTCGGACTTCGTCCCCTCCTCGGTCCGGGCGGTGATCAGGAACTGCCCCATGGAGCTGGACGAGGAGTTTCTGACGGCCCCACCGGGGGAGAGGCCCCCATTGCCAGGCGACAAGGAAGAGGGCCAGGAATGCAGAGCCTTCCACCCGTCTGCGGTGAAGGCCTTCAAGATTCAGACCCGGCTCAACGCCACCACCATCGCCCAGGAGGAGGCCAAGAAGGCGGACCAGGTGGAAGCGGTGGACCGCTCCGCGGCGGTCCTCCACGAACTTCAAGGGGGGGCCATTGACGGAGGAGGTGATGGAGGTCTGCTCCTGAAGAACCTGGACTTGGACCTCTTCCGTGAGAAGCTGCTGGACAAGCTGGGTGCGGACTGGGGGAGACCCACACCGGAGCTCCTCCAGGCCCAGACCACTGCGGAGGAAGCGAAAGCGAAACACCAAGCCAGACAGGCGAAGGGCTCCCTCGAAACCAGGATGCTAGCGCCCATCGCGCCTCCCTTCAGTGCGTGGCCCAGTGAGGTCCGGGAGGGACTTCAGTATGGACGACCTCACATCGCTCACGGACTCCTACCTTGAGGCCAAGGCGGTCATCTCGCTGGGTAGGAATCCCTTCCCGGCGGCCCTCCTGTCAGATCTGCCGGACCTGGCAGGGATCCCTATGCCAAAGGCGGGGGGCTCTGGTGCGGCGCGCCCAGGTGCCGAGGGCCCTGACAGGCCGCCCACCATCTCCTCAGCCTCGGGCTCTGGCGTGACGAGCTCAGGTGCCGAGGGCCCTGACAAGCCGTCCGCCACCCCGGTGGGCCTGGACACCAAGGACCCGGAGGTGCAGCTCGCGGTCCTGCGCTGGATGATGAGCAAACGGGTCGGAGAGGTCCGTATCTTTGCGGGCCGCTGGGTCCGACGACCGGGCCCGGTACACGTCCCGGATTGGGCGGAAAACCTCACCAAGGTGAATCCGGAGGCGTTGGAGAAGGGTACGCATCCCAGGAACCACCAGGTGGGTGGACTCCCCTGGGCCAGGTACTCCGTGGATGAGTTGAACCAGCAGGCGAAGGCGGGGGACCGACCCTACCCTGGGGACCTGCGATCCATCTTTTGGGCTGCCCCCCACGATCCGGATGAGGATTTCCACTGGATTCGCCAGATCTCGTCCTGGACACTCCCAGGCCTACTGGGGATGTTCGGGCACAGCTACACCCTGCGCCAGCTCTGGGGAGTCTGGGAGTCTCTGCCTCTGCTGCAGGGCCCTAGGCAGCGGGGCCCGAGAAACAAGGCCCAGAATCAGACCCGCCTGGAGGGCTGGGAGACCCTGAAGGAGGACGCGCGGTGCTTCCTGAAGGAGGAGGGCCTTCCGTTTCCGCAGACAGGACCGGAGTGGCGATTGGTCTACCGGGCCATGGGCAAGGTCCTCGCGGCCCGGGCCTTCCTCACGGACACCCCGGCGGAGGTGATGCAGCTCCCGGTCCAGGACGTGGCGGACTCCAAGGAGCAGATGATCCTGCGGGCGGTATGCGACGAGCGCATCTCGGTCCCGGTGGAGAGCCTCCAGCAGTTCCCAGAGGTGTACAAGGCCCTCATGGACCGCATTGGAGGCCCGGGGGCCCTGGCGGAGGTGAAGGTCAACTGGCGCTGCAACACGAAGCAGTGGTGGGTCGGCGCAGTCCCCGACTCAGTGGCCCCCTCCATCTACCGCAAGCTCGGCTACACCAACGACATGATCAAGCTGATGGGCCTGGACCCCTCCGCCCCTGGGTGCCGGACAGGTGCCGATGGCCCTGACATCCGCCCCAGGGGAGGCGAGGGCGATGAGGGGATCGTTTACCCCCCCATCACGGCGGACAACGTCCACGGCGTGGTGGGTAAGGACTACCGGAAGAAGAACTATCCGGTGGAGATGAAGCATGTCTTCTGGGCGCACATGGAGTGTGGCCTGGTCCTGAGCTCCGTCACCCCGTGGGAACTCATCCCGAAGACGAAAGGGGGCTACATGTGCAAGTATTGCAAGGGGTACTGGCGTGCCGGGGGAGGGGGCACCCGCCTCCTCCAGATCCGGGCCGGCAAGGCCATCTTGCAGCTGGTGTTGGACGAGCCGCCGGAGGGCCTCTACAACCGCTGGGTGAAGGAGCGGCTGGAGTACTACCGCCGGGTGGAGCCCTCGGCCCCGTTGCGGGACGTCTCCATCGTGGACCAGAAGGTGCCTAGATTCAGATTCAGCCAGGCCACCCAGACAGGCCACGTCTCCAATGCCATCTGGGAGCTGATTCTGCGGAATCCGGAGGCTGCTGCGCTCAAGCGCATAGATGACATCGCGAAGAGGGCCGCGTGATGATGCGGGACAACGCCATCTTCCGGCACATCATCCAGAACCGCGGCCATCCGGAACGGATGCGCAGCGCACCCTGGGGGTGGGACAGCTGCCGAAGGCGCTGATATCCCCCCCCAGGGAACAGCGCAGGCCCAGACCTGCACCAGGCGAGGAAAATTGGCGCGGCTTGGGCTAATCCGGGGTGCGCCTGGTTCCCCTCTCTTGTTTGGTTTTCCCTTTTCGGGGCGGCTCCCTGGGTCCCCCTTTTTCCCCCGTTCCCTCCGTTTCGGGGTTGACTTTCCGGGGTTTTGGGGGGCCCCCCCCCCTGTTGTTTGGTTGGGGTTGGCACCTAGGGACTAAGCCCCCGGCTCGAGTGGATCATGATGATGTGGAGGCCCCGCCTCCCTTCCCCGTTTGGGACGACCTTCCTAGGGGCGCCAACCGCGCTCCAGTTGATTTTGCATGACCTGGGATTTGCACCAGTGCAGTCGGACGGGGAAATCCTCGTGGCGTGCTGCCTGGAATGGGTCAAGAAGGACAAGGTCGCCAACCCGGATGCGGTGGTCTTTGACCCGCGGCCGTGGACACGGATCGTGGGGCTGGCACCTGACGGCAACCACGTCCTGGTGGCCTCGGACACCTACAACTTGATCCTCGCGAGGATGCTCGGCTCCCAACCACAACCGCTGGAGGAGGCGGATTTGGAGCTCGCTACTAAGACCCTGCAACAACTTCTGTTTCGTGCGGCAGGCGCCAGGCAATCGCACACCTATTCTCCACTGGAAATGGAACAGGCCATCCGGGACCGCGAAGAGTGGATCCTTTCCGGATCGATTGAGGCCCCGGATGTCCTGGCAGTGGCCAACAAGTGGCGGCATTGGAAACCAGGGAAGATCAAAACCCAATTGCCGACATCTCAGAGAGCGTTGGAACAACACTTGAGGGCCAGGTGGTTGGAACGCCTCCTGGGATACTTCATCCCCTTCCGGCACCAGATCCCCTACATGCACCAGGTGATGGGGGCCAGGGAGCTGGAGGAGTTTGGCCACCTCTTTGGTGATGCCCGGTTCCGTACCATCCGGGCACACTGCTTGGCCTATGAGGGCATGCGCAAGATCGGCTTCCAGAACCTCCCCTGGACGGCCGGC